TTTAGGAGAAGTTGGCTTAATTTCCTGTTTTTTTTTTCTTTAATTGCAATTGATTCAGGTACCAGAGTTTGTTTTGACTCGAGGAAAGGTGGGTGAAACCTAATGGCCTTTCTTTTCTATTCTCTTTTCTGAATCAGGATAGAAATGAGCAAAAAGCGAGGGGGCCTTGTTCAGGATTGTTACTTTTTCTATTTTTCGCGCTTACTTATACATGAACTTATGAAGTTTCTTCCTCGGGGGAGGGGGGAAGAAACTTCATAAGTTTATGTATAGGGGGGTCGTACCGAACCTCCAAAAAGGGGGGGAGGGGTAGTACGGGCTCCACCAAAATCTCCAACTAATGCTGTGCGTTACAGTCGCGTATTCGAAATCATCGCGAGCACACGCCGATCGGGACCATGCTGTATTTGCAACTGTCGCGCGCGACGCCGCATGGCCTTGCCGCTACATGCCCGGAGCTGTAGCAAAAGACCTACATAGTCCTCAACAGCCTTACCTGTTATTTTATAGACCCATTTCAGACAATCCGTTATGCTGGCTACATCTCTCACAATGCCGAATCGATTATTCTGCATATTCTGCTCTGTTTGACTTTGCTCTGCTGAACCATCCGTCTGACTTCGCTCTGCTGGATCAACTCCTGTAATTTACTTTAAAAAGCTCAGAAAACTTTTCTTGAGCTGTAGAGAAGTTTACAGGCTCAACGAACAGTTCAGCAGTGATGCGTGCTGCGAGGTGTCGCAGAGAAGGGCAATGGAAACAACGACAGTACTCACCAGGTGATTTTTGGCACTGCCGCGTTGAATCGTTTGAGTTCTGAATGCAGCGCAAGCGACCACGTATGCGTCGCGCCTTGAATCTGATGATACACAACTGCTGACTGCTGCTCCTTTCCGCAACCTCATCACAGCACGCCTCGCTTGCGCTACTGTCCTTTTCCTAGGGATGGCAGAAGCATGTTCCAATTGTCTGTTGACAGCTCACCTGACTTTTCATGAATCCAGTCCAAATACTCGCGAACGTCGGTGAAAACGTCTTCACCTTGTCGTTTTAGTGCAGCATAGAAATCTGCAAGAAGAACTTCATCTAGTCAAGCGACTTATAGAAAAACTTGGGATTAGCTAGGATCAGTAGGCTCACACGAGTAGGACTGCTGGCTTTGAGAGAAGAAAAAACCCAACGGCGCCGCGCTCGCGGTGCGTGCCGAGCAGTGTTGATGCGACCGTGCCACCAAGGTCACTAACAGGTGCTGCCACCCCAATCACCCTTCGATATATTAGCGTTTCATCAGCTGATGCTAGCCTTCTGCAGGTAACGCAGTAGCGCGCAGTGGTATCTACAGCCGGTAATCACAGTGGAGCTAAAGCGTGTCCTAAGAAATGTTCTCGGCATGGCTCTTGAGCTGCCTTCCATGTCCCAGTGCTACTGATGGCTCATCACTCCCTACTTCTTTCTTTCCCCCTTCTCCTATTTATCTGAGCCATTCATCGGCAAAGTGATAGAAAGATTGTTGCCTTAAGACTGCAATGGTCTAGCACTGATTTTTGCCTCCTCTTCGCCGCATTGTCGCTACAGCGATAGTAAGCACGCGACGCGTGCGCTCGCCAATGAGTTTTTCCGTGTAGCCGTTGGCCTGCTTTATACGATAATGCTTGAATTTTCAATTGTAGAAATCTCCAGAAAATGGATATCACACAAAGGAACAACGCGGTTTACCATAGCATTCTCTTAAAACTGTCTCTACTCACTCATGAAAATGTTTCTCAGATCGCAGAAAGCTTACAGGTTCAGGACAGTAACAATAGTTGGTCGCGACTATTTGTCTCTTTTTTTATATGGAACAATTCTGTTAAAATTACGGTTCAACCTGCGATACCAAATGTTCGAAAAAATGAGGACTATTGAGAATGTGCATTTTTACTCAACCATGCTGGCACTGGCGGTAGTTGCTAATGGGTCGTTATGAAATCAGAATAGTCCTGTTGTCTACTACAGACGTAATTTGGAGGCGATCAGCTGTTTTGAACCTTTGAAGCATTCACATTGCTTCAACCCTCCTCGCTGCTGCCCTGGAAGTGGACGTCCGCCAATGAGAACGGCGCGGTATTCCAAGGAATTCTGCCCATATCATTAGAGTGAGGCGCTACTTCAAATGTTCGTTTGAGGTATTAGTTTTTGCTTCTTCCTAATACTGTTCTGCAAACTTACTCCATTCACATGAGCTACCGTGCGACAAAATGCCCATCAATGTTGATCTGTTCTCTTCATCAACTTGAAAAAGTGGCCCACCACTGTCGCCCTGAAATACCGGTGCAATGTAAGCTGATGAAATCGTTCTCAACCAGTTAGCTACTACATTGTTCGGACATTAATCTAGGTTTTGCACCTCCTGGTTTCTCGCACGATATCGTGGAAAGGTACATGTCGCCCACTGCCACCTGCACCAAATGAATTTGAGACTTATTTACAAAACTGAGAAATTTTTCAGATTGGAAAGAGGAACCTCGAAACAGCGATTCCAGCTAATCTATAACACTTCACTATATTTCAACTAGGCTCCATGTAAGTGCATTCCAGTCGGCTTGAAACGTAATTGAAGTAGAGAACAGGGAAGTATTAATCAGGGCACAGCTCACCACTGACTTCAACCCACTTTGTATCGTAAAAAAATGGGTGCGCATTTTGTCCCTGAAGCGTCCCAACCCGTGTACTGCAGACTCATGAGGTCGTAGTCTATCGATCCACTCCTGAGACCTTTCCCCCACTGGCTACTACCTCTCCAAGGTGCGGACATCTCACTGATGAAGCAAGGTTCTAACACCCAGCCTTCGTAGAACACCTTCATTTTACCAACCGAATTTACCGACTGCAAACCATCGAACAGGGAAAGAGCCACTGGCTTCTGTGACTGTATATCATTGGAGCTTCGGTTCCTGGAAAAGGGCCACTAAGCCTCTGTTTAGAAGAGATCTGTACGGGATGTACTGCGTTTGTATTTCCAATGCGCGACAAGGGTGACCCGCTGCTAAGGTATTCCAAATTGAATGCGAGGTTGGAAACCTGCATTATTTTCGGAGCAATGTCCTTTACAAGCATGCCATTTACCTTACAAAGACCAATTCTGGGAGCAGATTCAACTGTGATTGTTGTGTTTTCACCAATTTTTCTGATTCCAACAAATGCGAGTCAATTACTGAATGCCTATGAGTTGTGATCCTCATCGTCATCGTCTGCTAGAAAACATAAAAAATAATTGACAGAGCATACGACAGCGTTCGGGCAGCATTCGAAGGATGCAGTAGGAATTCGAGTTCTATTAGGTTGGCCGATAAGTAATGGCCGTTTTTTTCAATTGAAAAATTTGTTCCAAAAGTGAACTGTTTTGCAAGCAAGCTTAATATCGTTTAATAGCAAACTTCTCGTATTAGAATATCAAAACAGCTTCGGTTGAGGGAAGAGTTTTTGTGGATTTTTTAGTCGTTGAAGTTGAAAGCGAAGTCGGCGAAAATTAGCACCTTCGACAACTGCCTCTATTTACGTATACTCGAAGTGCTAAAATCGCTTAAGCTGCTCCATACATTTGGAAAAGGTCGAGCTAGAAGTTCCAGCAAGGGAATCTCACTAGGACGCTTTGGAACGAATTTCAAGAATTTTGAAGTTACGTCTGCTCCACCTGAAATTTCATGCTAATATTTGAATGTTTCGCTGATATGTTTTGCATGTTCTGATAGCAAATTTCGTGCTCTATAACACTGCAGTGAAAATCTGTTCTCCAGAGCTGTTTACTTTCTGCTAATTTCAGGTTATCACTACGGGACGTGAGGTCGTGAGATAGAGGCAGTTGTCGAAGGAGCTAGTGGGCTGGCTAATAAGTAATGGCCGTTTTTTTCAATTGAAAAATTTGTTCCAAAAGTAAAACGTTTTGCAAGCAAGCTTAATATCGTTTAATAGCAAACTTCTCGTAGTATTAGAATATCAAATTCAAATTCAATTAATTCAACTATTAGCATGAAATTTCAAGTAAACGTAAATAGAGGCAGTTGTCGAAGGTGCTAATTTTCGCCGACTTCAACGACTGAAAAATCCACAAAAACTCTTCCCTCAACCGAAGCTGTTTTGATATTCTAATACTACGAGAAGTTTCCTATCAGATGATATCAAGCTTGCTTGCAAAACATTTCACTTTTGGAACAAATTTTTCAATTGAAAAAAACGGCCATTACTTATCGGCCAACCTAATACTATTGAGGATTGCGGAATGCCTATTGGTTTATAAAATTACTCAGGCTGCGTTCATGGTTTGTGGCAGCGTTCATGAACGATATAACGTCTACCAGCGTCTAACAGCATCGACCAGAACCCGCCAGCTTCTCGGGGGACTTGGATATTGAGCGTTCAGCAACGACAAGAATACGGTATTGTGTAGCAGTACGATTTCAGGTGCAGTTGGTTGCGGTTGCACACGCTACAATTCCACGACGCCTTAACTAGTTGTGTCCTCTTTCCTATACTTCGCCATACTCTATTAGCAGTCAGCTACCCTCCTACTTCCTCACAACACTCTCTACTGCTGGTCGTTGGTGGACGCTGATAGACGCTATTCTTACTTTCCTACCCCCTCCCCCCCAAGCTGATAGTCGCTGGCGGACACTGCCGCAAAGAATGAACGTAGCGTTACGGGGACGAGGCGATGTGCAAGGCAATACTTTAATTGGTGCAGACAAACTGATATCAGGAAATTCCCCGTTGGTTTTTTCGCTTGAGTAGGATTTGTTGCAAGCATGACCGCAAGACCATTTACACTTTGTATCCCGAAAATGGAGAAGGCGTGGCTGCGTATCCCATTCAAACATGGCGCATTGTTCGCTGCAAATGATGGAGCGTGCTGCAGCTCGTTCTCCATCAGTTGCTGAGCAGCAGCACAACAATTGGTGGGAATGACTGATACGAACTAAATGATACTGGTTTGTCGCTTGCTGAAAGAAAAAAGGGGATGAGGGCGGTCTAGTTCAGACCCAGCCTCCCTGACACGCCCCATCATCCGCAGCGAACAGGAATGTGGGATGCCTTCTTCGTGGGGTATTTTCGTTTGAAACATTTGTTACACCATCTCCTACTAACAAAGATACGATCACAGCTATCTCAAAACGGCAACATCCCACAAAAAGCGCAGCCGCTGCCACGTTTTGGTGTAAGCGAAGTCACGCCCTCCCGATTTCCCGGATATGGAGTGTAATGTAAGAAGTCGTGCCACGGGACGAGCACAGTGCATTGACAAGTAGGCGTACAGACAAAACCCGGCCGCATTATCTCAGGGCTCACGTGCGTCAAACCATGCGTCAAAATTCATGTGCGGCAGGAGAAAACGCGATAAATTAGCTCATTTTGAAACAGCTTCAATTTATTAAAGGCGTGAAACAACGACCTTACCTGACCTGAAATCTAACGAACTTCAAACTTACGTCCTATTCGGCCATATCCTGCTACCTTAAGCTTTTTGGAAACACGAAATTCTCTTTGTGGCAAGCAAATTGGTGATGCCAATGAGCTTGGCATACTTACAGCAAGCTCGAATATTGCTATATCATTTTTGGCAGAGCATTCGTCAAATTTGTCATGCACGTAGATCTGAATGAAGTAAATGGGATACAACATGCGAATGTCTCATATTCCGAAGCGCGCCTTCATGCCCTGACAGGTATCAGACGCGCCGGAATCGAAAGATGATACCAGTAAGTGAGGAGAACAACAGTGCCAGTCTCGCCCACGACCAACATGGACTGCTCCCTCAAAAGCGTATGACACGATAATTTGTTACTCGGCCTAAAATGGTAGCAAGGGTGCCACATAGTGGGGAAAACGAAGTGAAGCGGTCAAAAACCTGCGAAAAAGCCTTTGCTCTGCTCTTCAGAAAGCAATGCCGGACGAGCTTCCCGCTGGGTCGTCAATAACCAATATGGTAGATACGGCTGCATGTATGTTCCCAAATATCCAGGCAGCACCGCAGCAACTTTGTCCCATCGGTTCGCGCTGTACTTCTCAAGTGGAGCGATACGAGCATCAGCACCGGTCGGACATTTGTGGGCGAGCGGACGTGGTGGGCGTTCGGAACGGCATGTTGCAGCTTGATAGGGTGCTGTGAGGCCCTACCAGGCTGCAACATTCTTTGGAGAAATCGCCGCGCCGCGACTGCTCAGGGGCGCCGAATTCTGTCCTGCTAGGCGTATGAATCCCACATGTCCCGAGGATTTTTCGTGCCACGTGCCTTTATGTTTTCAAACCCTATAACCTACAACTGACGGTCACCGAATGTGCCATTAGTTTCCACATTTTTAGGCCCCACTAGTCCATCTCATAGAGCATTTAGGATGTGAGGTCTTTGGAGTTTGCGCGCTGAGATTGAAAATGATAACAATCCTTTACCTTAGCTGTATCCACAGAAACACATATTTTAGGGCACAGACTGCCAAATTTAACCATCCATTCACTAACAGAAGCGCGAAATCGACGACGATTTCTGAAAAAATCATTAGAAAACATTAAACAGGCAGCTTTATCTTCGTTAAGTACAACCCCTTCATAGCCGCATAACAATACGTTTCGCACATGGGGTGTGGTCGGGGCTGAAATCGTACAGGATATCCTGGCCTGGCCACTGAGAAGGGGAGCTTTACTCATCTCTCTGGACTAAGAAGAAGTAGGGGACCTAACACCTAAATCGATAACCTATCCTGGTCACAAAAGTGGAAACCAAAATGGCTACGTACACCCCGCGAGCGATCTGCAATCGGACAGTTTTCCGCTTGCAGTGGCCTGTATCAGTGAGATTAAGCCGTCCATTCCGTGCACTCTTGGATTACTGGCAAGGGCGACGGCAGCGCTTCAGCGCGCCGTCGCGAAGTTTGAACGCTACCCCAGTGAAAACGCGATGCAGGGAAAAGCATGCGCATCGATCGCGCCGAACGCGCGACCGAGGCGCTGCCTTCGCGAAGTCTGAACGCTGTCCAAAGCCCGACCACTCGCAACACGCTCGCAATTTTAAGGCAGCAATTTTGTTCTCCATATTTGTACTCAAATCCTGGGCTCTGCTGACTTACATAGGTCTGTTGTGAGGCACGTTCCGACGGCACCAAGAGCGCTTCATAGAAAATGCACCGGTTGCAGCTCCCGTGAAGTAGAGACCTTTCCACAACACCAATGCGTTCTGTGATCCTACATAAATGATAAATAGGTACCTATGCCTTTCCTTCCGACACTTCACTTCACTTAGGATCCGCGAGGGAGATTCTACCACACAGTGCGCTGCAGTCAGGATGTGACGAGGAGAAATGAGTACTCCAGTGCATATGAACTCTGTAACAAATCTGTAAGTACTCACAATATACAGAACTGCAGAAACACTGATAAAGACACCTTTTGCGATCATCCTTGTTCAGCAGTGGAGGTCCATACACCCAGGGCGCGTCAATTTCGGCACTCAGCTGAGTGACGTGGGCGTCAGGGCTTGCAACTCATGCCCTTCTCCACCCATTAGCCGGAAAATTTACAGCAGAACATTAATTGGCAATTCCTTCGGCACCATTGATGAACACGCCCTGGTTAGGTTTCACCTGCGACAGATTCTCTTCCCCGTGGGAATCATTGACAGATATTAAAGACAGTTCCGCGATCAGGATCCCCACGAAATGCCTCCGTGTATTTAGCCGTTGTCTGCATTCGCAAAGAATATATCGCTTTCGTCACTCGAAACGGCAAGATAAGAAGCTAGAGACGCGTGATTATTGCAACCATTGCAACCACGATTACTTTCACTCTGCAAGACAACGGCTTACAAGCATTGTACATAGCGTTGCCTGGAGCGTCGTAGGGCAATTTCCTATGCTCTTGCCGGGAATCGGTTGCACGTCGAATTCGGTGATTGGCTTGTCGACGCCCACAAACTCATTTAAGTCGCTCACTTCTAAGGGTTCTCTGTTCAGAGTGTTCCCAAAGTTTTTTTTTGCTTCTTGGATTTGCTTATGTGCTACTGGTTTATTATTGAGCACCTACTACCCGTAAACCATGATCGTGGGAGTTGTCTTCAAGTGCACAAATGGCGCGCAGAACCAGGTTTTTGACCTTGTATTAATGCTATTATGCCAGTTGGAACACCTTTCCGATGAGGGCGTTCCTCTATCACAGCGAGCCTCAATGTCTCTATGAGCAACTGAGTGTTGTACATCTTTTCAGTGCAACTTTGGGTATTTCAAAGCAATTCATACAAATGAAGAAGACAAAGTCAAAACGCTCACCTCTGGCGCTAACAGTTGCAATCCAAGGGAACTCATTCAGTTTGAGTTTTCTTCCACCGAATGATTTGAATGATTTTCGGTCTTCTGAAACATGAATACAGCAGCAATATTGAAATCAATTTTGTAGAGAGTTATGCCGAAACAGTAACATATGACTTACTTTCGATATTCGAAAACGGATGAATCTGAGCAAGGAAAAGATTAAATGGGATTTCTCATTTCGAAAGAACTTCAGTTCAGCGCTCAGGAACTTTTGCGCTCCCTATACTAGTGGAGCACCAACAGGAAAATTGTTGCTGCATGTGGCTAGCGCTGGTCCTCAGGCGCTCGGCTTGCCAGTTGATTCCAGGTTTGACTCTCGTCACAAGTCTTCCATCTCTTACAGGTTGATCAACTAACATAAAACTTGCTTGGGCTGCGTTCATACTTTGCGGCAGCGTCCACCAGCGTCTACCAGCGTCCACCAGCGTTCCGAGAGTCCGGCAGCGTCAGCGACTAGGAAAGCATAGATATCGATCTAGCGTCTGCCAAAGTCCGCCTGCGACCGAAAGCAGGGAGTATATGGAGGCAGGAGGGTAGCAAACATTTGGGTTGGGTGTCGTGAAACTGCGGCGTGTGCATCCGCATCACACAATTCATAAAGCACAGAATTGTGCACTTCAAAGGCAGTTGGCACGATAAATCCCTAAAGACGAGTAGGATTGATACGCCTGGCAGGATAGAATTCCGCGACCCTGGGCAGGCGCTGCATAGCGGTTTCCCCGAGGAAGGTGCCCTATCAAGCCACAACTTTACGTCCCAAACGCCCGCCACGCCCGCCCGCCCACAAATGGACGACCGTTCCTGACGCTCGTATTCATTCATTTGCTAAGCAAATTATGAAGCGAAGGGATTGGTATGAAGCGGCCGTGATGCTGCATGCATACATGGGTACACATATGCAGCCGTATCTTCGGTAGCGGTGATTGGCAAGATGCCTACGGGAAACTCGTCCGAAATCGATTTTCAAGTCACTGAGAACGGAGGCTTTTTCTTCGCAGGATTTTGACCGTTTCACTCCGTTCTTTCGCCATTTCCCCACTATACAGCGCCCTACTAGCATTTAGGCTAAGTACGACATCGTGCCAACTGCCTTAAATGTACGGCGTAGCATAGTTGTACGGTGCGGTTGCAGACGCCGTGATTTCGCAACACCTGATTCAGCTGTTCGCTACCCTCCTACCTACCTACACTCTCTACTCCCAGTCCTTCCGTCACATCGAGAGAAATTTCCATCCAGGAACTTCGTAGAGCTTGCAGTAAATCTCTTCTACTTACGGTGGCTAGCAGTTTGAGCACCGACATGCTGATCAACTACGGTGTGGTCGATAGTGAGGAGGTCTTGTTCATTATAGGGTCCTTTCGGTTTGGACAAAAAAATGAACCAAATACGAACATAAGAAATTGGGAGTGTGGGTGTACGAAATATTAGGTTGGCGGGAAAGTTCTGTCACTCTTTTCCGAACTCAAATTACTTGCCCATTACCAAGAGTGGTAACCGGTAATGTAAGCTCTTATACAACAAGGAGTGGTCTCTCTGTTAGTACCACTCGCTTGCCTCTTGCTCCTTCTTCTGCAATATGCACAAGGATTTTATCCGCTACCATCAGCCCCGACCCATCCAACAACTTCCACAAACTATTTCACCCACCACCCTGACGCCAGCGTGTTAGCTGCAGATGCCAAATTGATGGAGCTGAATAAGCACGATGCCCCCAATCATCGAGCAACCTTACCACGACAGTGACGCTTCAAGGCGGGAGCCTAGGGAGCCTACAGTTTTGATGACGAAGTGAGGTTTGGGTTACCTGCAACTCAGCTTGAGGGAGCTATGGGTCGGGAAACTGCTGGATGAAGAAGCTGCTTCCTTGGTCAAGGCGTACGCAAAGCAGCTACGAGATCTAAGGCGTATCGTGGATCAGAGGGAAAAATTTGTCCGCACAGCCGGCCCTCACCAAGATAGTGCAACGCACTTGGTCCAAAAAAGTTCGAGCCGTACCTCATGCAATGGAGCTTGATCTCTCTCCCCTTGCACTTGTGTAGCACAGACAAATTTTTCCCTCTGATCCACGATACGCCTTAGATCTCGTAGCTGCTTTGCGTACGCCTTGACCAAGGAAGCAGCTTCTTCATCCAGCAGTTTCCCGACCCATAGCTCCCTCAAGCTGAGTTTGCAGGTAACCCAAACCTCACTTCGTCATCAAAACTGTAGGCTCCCTAGGCTCCCGCCTTGAAGCGTCACTGTCGTGGTAAGGTTGCTCGATGGGGCATCGTGCTTATTCAGCTCCATCAATTTGGCATCTGCAGCTAACACGCTGGCGTCAGGGTGGTGGGTGAAATAGTTTGTGGAAGTTGTTGGATGGGTCGGGGCTGATGGTAGCATAAAATCCTTGTGCATATTGCAGAAGAAGAAGCAAGAG